GGTAGACATGGTTGAAACACTTCGCTTTTAGGGTTTGGTCTGAGGCGGAAAATTTAACAGCTTCACAGTTGCTAGAGCTATCGCTGGCAACTGTGGGAATCAAATGTTATTTGATTAAGAGTAATAATAATAATAATCAAACAACAACATCTGCCTATCCCAGGTCCTTGGGAAGGACTCAATAGGTGGATAAAAATGCCAAATCCAGTCTAAACATCTGGCTGACTGTGCGACCAACCATCATCATCATCATTATCATAAGCAAAGATAGTCCCAATAGTCGCCTTGGGTGCAATCCCAAAACATCTGAAGCACCACTTGAAGACCATCGGCATTGACAAAATCACCATCAGTCCATTGCAAAAGGCAGCTTTACATCTTGCGACGATACCATTAACACCGTCCAACAACATGTGCCTATCCCAGGTCCTTGGGAAGGACTCCATAGGTGAATAAAAATGCCAAATCCAGTCTAAACATCTGGCTGACTGTGCAACCAACCATAATAATAATAATAATCAAATGTTATTAAGAGTAGAACAAGGGTCCTGTACCTTGACATTCCTCACTCTCCTAACTTCACCGGTGAACATCCTTTGGCTGCATAGTGCTTGGCCAATTAAGCCTTCCTCACTTCACCTTGCCAATGTCAGCATCTTCAAAAAGGAGTGGTGAAAACACTAACGTAAACGTTGCAACTTTATTTACACAATATACAGATTAGACAGAGACATGGGCGTCCAAGGACATGTTTTCAACATAAAAGCCTATCATGTTTAATCCAGTAACTACAACATGTTTTCTTATAGTTCAAGGAATTAAACCAAGGCTAGCAGGTCAAGTCAGGTACGATCTAAGAGACAAAGAGCTGATTAGAACCAAATATTCTGTTTGCAAGAGCAGGGAAACAGTCTGGTGTAGACCATTCGATCAGAATGCTTGTATCTGGGACAGTCCAGTTTTACGTAGGAGCAATTCTGGGCAGTAAATTCTGCAGAAAACTAAAAAATATATGGATATCAATACGTGGGAAAAGACACATGCCTTCAAAAATCATATTTGTCTACTGTAGGATAGGTATCCACAACCAGTTCTCCCTGTACTGTATCAGAAGGAGCTGGCTATATTTCTCTGTAATAATTAGAGTAGAGATATGCAGTATTCTCGAGAGGGAGTGGTATTAGAAGCAAGACAGTGGTGATCTGCAGTTGCCTTATTTCAACTGTTTTATTTAATTTTATCATAGGTACCGTTGACCTAAAGTCTGAGTGACTAGAATTTTCCTGTGGGGTTTTAAAGGAAATGTCCTTAGCTCAGAAAGGATCAAAAGGAAGAAATAGCTTCTTCTTTTTTTCTTTTTTTTTGGTGAACAGAGGGAACTTGGACACCTTGGAAGAGTAATATGTTCTTTCCTTTACAGTACATCTAAACCGCCAGGTTGACCCAAGGTACCCATTGTGTCAAAAATACACAATTCAATGTCAATTTAATGGTAATTAAATTAAGTGGCCAATTGAAGTGCCATTTAAAGAAACAAACAGGTGAAGAAAAATACTACCACGTTCTTCCAAATTGTCAGTTATTTCAGGGACAAAATAGATATGACTGTTATTGCACTGTTGGGTGGATTTCTATGTAGCAACAGTGTATGTAGGGGGACTGAATATGTGCTGATTTGTGAGACCCTTTAAGGTTTTTCTCATGATCCCTCCTGAAGTTTGAGTGTTTGCTTTCCTTGTCATGCGAAAACCAGACAACCGTGGGATGAGGGGAGCTCTTAACTTTTTAAAAAACTTTCAGGCCTGCTTGTGCCAAGTATTAGTTCAGCAGGAAGCTGCCCCAAACCCAATTGGTGATAGAAGTCATATCACAGCTAGCTTTCTCAAAGCTGTAGATGGCCGTCCATCTTAAAAAAACCCAACTCTGAGCAGCTCACAGCTATTTTAAAAAAAGCAATAAAAAGAATGAAAGCAAAACATCCTTCTCCAGTGCGTCTTCAGATTAAACATTGAAGAGATTGTTCCCAATTAAAAAAGGGAAGAAGTGGCTTCTGGCATGCCAATTGTATAGTCTATAATAGTGTTTCTCAACCTTGGCAACTTTAGGTTATATGGACTTCAACTCCCAGAATTTCCCAGCCAGCATACTGGCTGGGGAATTCTGGGAGTTGGAGTCCACAAATCTTAAAGTTTCTAAGGTTGAGAAACACCGGTCTATAACAAAATGATGGCAATCAGAAATGAAACGATTGGGGGGTACATTTGCCCTTTATGAAATGTGTCTGGTTCGTGTTTCACGTGCTTTCAGTGGACTTGAATTGCTGGGCTATTATAACTATTAAAAACAAAACCCTAATTTACCATTAAGAATGGAAATGAGTTCTGCAGATATAAAATGCAGTAAAAGAGCTGCCTATTGAATTAAAGCAAGATCAGCTGAAAGGCTGAAAAATGATTGCCAGAAGAGGCCATAGAAGTGTTGAAAAACATCAGGAGTGCGCTAACCGTCAAAGAGACTTCCCAAGCATTCCATAACGTGGAATACGGCCTTAGGAAGGCTTCCTGTCTTGGTTGACCATTACAAGTAACATCATGTTAGCAGTCAAGAAAACTCTTTATGAATGGCTTGTCTGAAGATATTTGAATATATATTGCTTTTACCTGCGTCCCAGTGTATGTATGAGCTGTTCTTAAACTCACTGCTGATTGGTACAGTTGAAGAATATGAGTCTGACTCATGCGATTTGGATAGCTGTCCTCCCCCAGCAAACATGTAGGGGGGAAGAGCTGGAGAAAAGGCATCTGACGTCGTAGACGCACCATGGTTGCATTGCTACAGCACTGAGCCAGGAGTGTGGGCAGCAACCATCCTTAGTCATATTGTCAGATGCTTTGCAAACAGTCATTCTGCGACAGACACACTATAGAATCATGCTTTGGCAAAGAGAAGGATGGACGAAGAGGAAAGATCCTCAGTCAGGCTTAGTATGAACCAGAAAACTGAACATACCAGAGCATCTCTGTGTCTTTGACAGTGAGTAGAAGCACTGATGTAGTACTTAAGTGTTGTACTGAGGTTGGGGAGATCCAGGTCTGAGTCTTCTTGGAACACACTGAGTGACTTTGATCGGCTGTCTTCTCTTAGCCCAGTCTTCTTCTCAAGGTGGTTGTGAAGATAAACATTGCTGGTCTTCAGCTCCTTAAAGGAAAGGTGGAACATAAACGTAAGAAGAGAAGAAATAAAAGTTAGCTCAATCTTGTTAAAGGGCTGAAGGTAGCTTTCCTGTAACGTTGAAAGGACATTTTGGTTGCTGTCCTACCCTGGGTCTCCCCGTGATGCAAGCATGCAGTGACATAAGGAGGCACACGTGCCATTCGCTTGCTACAGGGCTCAGTGCGTGCTTCAGATTAGTTCTGTAGGGTGAAGTATTACCAATGTCAGCATCTGGTATGAGTTGCAATGATGCAAAAAATGCTGAAATGCAGTATCATGGTACAAACGATGGCCTTTCATTCTTGCATCCAAGTCTCGGGCCCAAGTTCCTAAGTTTGCACCGCATTGCCACAATGCATGTTTTGTGTTTTGCATTGTGATGTCATTTACGCCCCCATTCTCCCCTCCTCTGGTGTGCAAATTATACTCCTGCAGATAAGGCTGGTCTTGCAGCCCATTCCTCTTCACATTTCTCTTCCTCAACACTACAAGGCGGGGATTCTCAAACGGGCAGTCACCATTTTTCAAAACCTGATTCAGCTCGTGCGGGCAAAGGGGGAACATGGTCAAAAAATTGCTCTGTGCTTCGCTCCTCTTTTTGCCTGCACTAGCTCAAAGTGGGCAGCTGTGCTCCTGCCTAGTTGAGAACTCCTGTGATACATAGATGAAATTGTAATTATTAAAAGTAAGTGGCGTATTTATTTCTTGCTCAGTGAAAGCTTTTATTTTATTCACTGGGGGGTCTGCACAAAGTTTGGGAACCCCTGCTGCAAACTAGGTGATATTTCCATCTATATCTTCAAGCCAGAAAGAGCCAAAAGCATCCATTTAAAGAAAAGAGTTTATATCTGAATTTGCCATACCCTTGCCTGTAGCTGTTTATATGGAAAGCTGTTGAAAAAGTTGCTTGTCCAGCTGGTCAAGGCACAAACTCTCATTTGATGTTTCACTAGATGTCAGAGCCAAATGAATTGATTTCTTTCACAGGTGAAGTGGCAAGAGTCATGAAGAGTAATTTCTGTTCTGGGCAATTGGGAAATGCTAGATGTGGTTGGCAGAGGACAGGTAAATGCCAAGTTTGTGAATGAAAAGGGTTGTTTATCAGTGAAAAGCGTTGTGGTACAGCTTCTCTATGGCTTTGGCTTGATGTTCATACCTGGATATGCAAATACACCTCTTTCTCATTTAAAAGCCAACTGGCCTGGTCTTGAAGTTATTGTTGTTTGCTAACATATTTTTAGTCATTGCTTTTGGTGCTGTGAAGGCTAAAATCCTCCTCTCTAGGATCCAGCGTGCTGTTGATAAGACAAAAAGAAATCGGTTCCTGCTTGCATTTTGACTACAAGTAGTCCCCAGATTAAGAATGCCCAGTTTAAGGACAACCCATAGTTAAGAATGGAGCCTACTGAGCAGAATTTGAGTTAAATACACAATGATTCGAGTTAAATACACAACGGTTTGAGTTCATTACACAATACTACTTATACAGTATTATACAATGATGCTGTTCCAGCTTACATACAAATTCGACTTAAGGACAGACCTTGGGAACGGAACTCGTCCTTAAACTGGGGACTGCCTATAGTTGATTAAACAAAGTTCTCTTTTGCTCTCTGCTTTTACATGTCCCCTTGGGTGAAGGAAGGAACATCTGTTTAGAAGAGGAAAATGACCAAGAAGTGGTTAAATGGTAGTTCAATAAATTAGTCAAAAATTGCCCATGATCTAAAAGATGTTGTGCAGTGTATTGCTTATTTTAATTACTGCTGCTTTCCCCATCTCTGCAGGACAGAAGGTAAAAGTACACAGAGCCAACAGAAACACCAAGGGAAAAATCCTGATGTTTTGCCGAAATGAGTTTGAGCCATAGAGTATGGTTAATGCCATAATTATCCAGGTATGTCAACGGTTTGAGCTTACGTCTTGCTGCTATTACAATCTTCTGTGGAAGCTGGCAAAAGGTCCTTTGGGAGGTCCACACTTCTCAAGGACAGGCTTTGCCTTACGTCATGTAGTAAGTAGTCCTGATACTGAAAATGAAAACATGAGAAACCAGGGAACTTGTGACACCCCTAGAGAGGGAATGAGATAATTAAAGGCCGGAGTGACCTTATTGCTAATGAAATGCATATTTCATCTATGAGAACATCTCCAAAATTCTGTTCTCCTTTAAAAAAAAATATCAGAAGCAAATATTCTTCCATCAAATTGAGCAGGTAGAAAAAATCTGTAGAAGTTCTCTAGCTAGCACGAAGGAAAATGGACAATAGCAAAAACTGTATCAAGATTGGAGAAGACAAGTTTTATGGATCCTACAGATTGTTTTAGCAGCAGTCTTCTCCTTCTGTCTTGGAGCATTTCATAGCTATTTATTCAGTTATTGACTGTTTTAGCAGCAGTCTTCTCCTTCTGTCTTGGAGCATTTCATAGCTATTTATTCAGTTATATTCACCACTGTTTCCAAAATATCCCAATTTTTCTTAGCCATTAGATTTCTCCCATTCAAATGTATATGATCTGCAGAAATGAGTCAGTTGAGATGGGTGATGCCATTTCATTCTTTATTCAGGCCTTCAGAATCCCAGCATCTTATGTTCGTGTCCCAAGACGAAGCACAGACATATATAGGTCATATTTGGTTTTTTTTTGTTTTTCGATATAATTTTTATTGGAGAAATATTTAACAAGATAGAAATTAGAAATAGAAATATAAATATTAGAAAAGAAACAAAGAAAATAAGGAAGAATAATGAATAAGTAAGAAATAAAATAGAAAAAGAAAAAGAAAGAAAAGATTATAAAGAAGCAGCTTCCAAATTTTTTGACAGTGGTTGTAAATGCATTTATATTTTACCCTTTCTCTCTAAGGTTACATCATAATTTCCTTCTTTCCACAAGCTACCTTCTCTAATCCTGAAACCCATAAATCACAAGTTCATTTTTTTTCTTTTTTCAGCAAAATGTCCATAAGGGGTTTCCAGTCACTGATAAATGTAGTTGTTGATCTTTCTTTAATGAAACAAGTTAATTTTGCCATCTCTGCTAGTTCCATCATCTTCCCCAACCAGTCCTCCATGGTGGGTTTTTCAGAGTCTTCCCATTTTTTCGCATATAATAGTCTCACAGCAGTAATCATATATAAAAATAATCTTCCATGGCTCTTTTCTATTTGACTGTCCATTAATCCCAACAAGAAAAGTTCTGGTTTCAGTTGAATGTTGATCTTTAAAATTCTTTGTATCATTATATGCATTTGAAACCAGAAATTTCTGGCTTTTTTACAAGTCCACCAAGCATGATAAAATAATCCTTCATGTTGCCCACATTTCCAATATAAATTTGAAGTACCTTTATACATTCTAGACA